AGGTAAAGATGGATGCCCATAACTCCTTCTCTCTCCATTAATCCAATCTCCAAATAGTACCAATATCTCCAAGCTATCTGCTGCAAATGCATATCTATGCTCTCCAATTTGAAATCTTGTTGCACTAAAAGCGCCTTCCGAAGCTACTGAAGATGTTTGAATAGCTAAGACATCTCGAGCAACCGATTGAAGTTTTGTAAATCCCTTGCCGCGATTGCTCCACCAATCTAGAAGATCAGGTAAACCTTGTGAATCCTTAATAGTTTTCGTATTTTGATTAATATATGCATCAAAATCATTTTTGTCATTATGAGAAAGTTCAAGATAACAATCTAGCATATCATCAATCATCTTCATTATATCTACACCTAGAACTTTGAGGTTCTTCATTACGTACTACATTTCTTCTATGAGAATTATACAAGTCATACAATTTTTTAGCTTCAATTTTTATACTATCTTTAACTTCTTGACAACTAGGTGTTTCATAATCTTGAATTTCTAAATTGAAATATATTTTATCAACCATTCATGATGCACCTTCATCTTTGTAATGTGGGTTTAACAAACAAGCGGTTAAATAAATTTGAGGAATAAGAGTAAACTATTTTTAAAATTTTTCAATCATCTTCTTAACAAAATCTTCAAATCTTGGTTTATTTTTAAATTTATAAAATTTACTAGAAATAACACAAATATTTGGTAAAACAGAGCAAATAGTTGGATAATATAGTCCATATAATATTTTTGTAGCTAAATTAAAAACTTTTAAGAATTCTATAAGTTCTTTTACGTCATTCCAATCATTATCATCAAGTCTATAGTTCACATTTGAATTATGAGCATTCCAAACCATTTGTAAAGGTTTTCTATACTCATAAGCGACTTGAAGCATTTCAAATAAAGAATTTCATCTAGTACACACTGATTTTGGAATTTTTCTAGGTGGAAGATTAAATTCACGACAATGTTTTCAAATTCTCTACGTCTAGACTTAACTTGACATTTAAAAATAAAATGACATGCAGTTTCAACTTTTATGCAACCATTATTATACATTGTTATATCATCTCTAACAATAAAATTATATATGTGTGCAACACACCTAATATGAAAACCATCAATATAAACAGGGCAAAGAGTCAATTTTAGTATTTCAACAACAGATGTATTATTAGAAGCATTATTTAAGGTGACACTAATTATTTTATCACAAATTCCATAGTTTTGTAAAACATCTATAATAGTTTGAGCTACGTAACTACCGGTTTTATGTATTTTACAACATTTAAATTCTTTTTTGCATAATCCAATTTTCATCGATCCAATATGCAGTAATAGTGAAATAATCATTACCATTTACACTACGATCCATATCAGAAGTAATAGTTATTTTACAAGTATTATAATAGAATAAACAACAAAGATATTGAAAATGTTGAGCTTGATAATCAAAGATAAGCCTTTTTAATTGTGTTTCTTGTAAAACCTTTAAAATGTGGATTATACACAATTTGAATATAATGAATAAAATTGGAATTTTTAGCAAAATTAAAAGGCAGGCCAATAACAACAATCATTTTAGTTAATTCTTCAAGATCTTTTTCTCTACTATATGAGCGTTGTGTATTAGGGCCAGAAACATTAGAAGGATTTAATTATGTTTGGATCATATTAGAGCCCCCTACCCTACAGTTTCACTAGGAAGGGTGGTACGATTCTTTTTAGCTTCGGCTACATCTTTAGCATGCAAAAATTCATATTTACAACATCCCATTAAATGATTACTCAAATGTCCCGTCCCACTCTATTTTCCCACAGTCTTATGATTCATTTTATGTTTACATTTATTACAAATAGCTTGTGTTTTATCTTCACTTTGAGTCATAAATTACCACATAATTGATTTTTTAGCACGTTCTACCTTAGGCCTAGGATGTACGGGGGAATGGGAGCAGGACAACGAAAGGGAGCGGGATTGGGAGTGGGAGTAGTAGCCGTAATTGACTCTGTTTCATCATCATCGTCATCATCATCAAAAGTATCAATATAATCATTAACATTATCATGTTCATCATTTTCATCTAATTCCTCATCAAAATTACCAAACCTTCTTTGTAAATATTCATGATAAGGATCTAATCCAATATTACTATCGATATTAAAAATGGTTTCATCAACATGCGTAAAATCTTTCGTATTTATTTTTACTTGTGCTACTTGTCTAGTTTTAGATTTAGAAGAACTACCGATTTTTTTATTTTTCTTGGAATTTGAGGTAAATAAATTAGTGATCGAATCATATACAATTGTTTTACCTTTATCAACATTTTTTTTATCGAAATCCATATTAAAATATGAAAAGTGAGTAAATTATATATAATACGAAAATGTAATGCAAACAAATAAATAACTAAATAAATAGAGACTAGAGACTAATTACTCACAAAATAAATAAATAAATAAATAAATAAATAAATAAATAAATAAATGCAAACAAATAAATAACTAAATGAAAATGGAGTTGGAACGAATGTACCAAACGTCTACTTAAAAAAGTAGACGTGTATGACCGAAAGCCGAAAATTGAAAGTTGAATTTTGAAGCTCCAAAGACCAAATTCGTAATCCACCAAATCTTTCATACTAATATAATTTGTAATTTAAAAGAGAATAAGAGATTAGAGACTTGAGACTTGAGAGCTGAGAGAGTAGAAGATGAAGAATATTTGTGAGTAAAAATAATGAAAGATTGAGGGTATTTATAGTTAAAAAATAGGATAAAAATATAAATTTTAAAAGTTTGTGGTATTAAAAAAAGTTTGGGGGGGTAGGGGGTGTTTTGGGGGGGTTATTTGGTGAAATAGCCGTTGGGTGGGGCCCAATACCCATTACCCAACGACTATATTACAATTTAAATTTTAAAAAAATTTAATTAAGACGAACCGGACCGGACCAGTTCGGACTGGAACCGGAACCGGTACTTACCGATATAACCTGGTTCCCCTTCGTAACGGCCCTCACTAGATCCTGCCGGAACGGTACTGGACCGGGACAAAATAGTACCGGACCGGTAATGGACCGGGATGGAACGGTACTGGTACTGGCACCTCCCGGTCCTGCTGCCACACTTACCCCTAACTCATCCTATACTAAAAGTTATGGTCATTTGAAGTTGACCCAAAACTTAGAAGAACTTACGAATGACTTGAATGAATTCTCTTTAGTTCTTCTTGGAACGTAAGGTGCTACATCTAGTGACCTTAACGCTTAAGAAAATTTAAATTCCTCAGTAAAAATCTTACTCACAACGAAGAATGGTTCGAATCTTAGCTCAAAAATTTTCCCGGGTGTTACATTAGGCTCATAATGGGACAATAAATTCATTATAAATAAGAATGATGGGGTAATAGGACTCCCGCAAAATTTAAGTGTCTTTTTGAAAATTCGGGACAACTTCAATAGTGACTTTATGTCTTTTGTTTAAGAATTACATTATCTCTCATATCTTTTATCTTCATTAAACCTTGGTCAATAATTATGTATTTCTCTCTCATAGAGTTATATAATATGTATACATAATTAATTAGTGTTGGAGCAATGCACCAACTTAGCTTATGATGCACAATTAGTTATATGATACTTATTTAACAAGTGCATGTATACCTCCTACATCAAATATAGATTCAACTATGATTACGACTCCGATCTATATTCTTTACTCTTTACTTGTTTTACTTAATCTCATTTATAATCTTTAAATATCCAAATCGTTTGTAAATATACTTAAAAAGAGTTAAACTATAAGACATGTATTTATAACCTTATATAAATTTAAGTGTACCATTTTACTTGATTAACAATTTTATGTCTATCATGACAAACCAAAGCAACTTTGTTGATTTAACTCTACCAACTTTATTCTCTTACTAGTTTGGATATTGTTTCAAAATTTCAATTTAAAAAGTGCCATAAATATTGAATCGGTAGAGAGTAATAATTTGAATTCTAGTTACTTCTTTTACTCTTGAGAAAAGGGTCTGATACACCCTTCAACTTTGTCATTTAGAGCTGATATACCACTCGTTATGAAAGTGGCTCATATATACCCCTACTTATATACAAATGGCTCACATGTACCCTTTTTCTCTAACGGAAATGAAAAAAATTAATTTTAGTTTAATTTTTTATTATTTTAAATATATATATATATATATATATATATATATATATATATATATATATATATATAATCTCATATGAGTATATTTAATCCTCCTCAAACATATTTTTTTTTTACTTTTTTTTATTTTAATGACTAATTTAGATTTATTATTTTGATGGTCAAATTTATTTATATTTCACTAATATTCTTGTAAAACTTATTTAGAAGACCAAATTTTTTTCTTCAAATACAAAAATTAAATTACAATATAGACAAAAAAAATAGTTTTAAATTATAATATAGCCACAAAAAAATAGTTAATTTTTTTTTTTTACACTAAGGAATGAAAGAAAAAAAAGTAAAATAAGAATAAGAAACTCAAATAATTATAATAAAAGAAGTCAAAAAATAATTTATGTATGAAAAAAAATTAAAATATACCTTGAACTTTGCTAGAAGAATCATATATACCCCTAAATAATTTTTAAGAAAATAAAAAATAAAAAATAAAAAATATAAAACTAATTTTTTCACTTCCATTAAATGAAGGGTCTATATGAGCTAATTTTATGACGGTAGGAATATATGTGAGCCGTTTGTATAACGATACGAGTATATATGAGCTATTTTCATAACGAAAGCATATCAGCTCCAAATGACAAAGTCGATGATGTATCATAACCTTTTCCCTTTACTCTTTGTGAAGGATAATATATATATATTTTTTAATGCTTACCATTTGAGCAATTACTAAGAACTCATGATATGGTATTCCATACTTTTAATCTCAGTTCCTTGCTATGACTACGATTTGACACACATTTCATTAGCTTCCGATGAGGATTGTTTCCTCCTTCCTCCTCCTATTCACGCTACTGCAACTATTGCTCAACCCAATTTTCTCTATTTCCGACTCCGATGGCCCTTTTCCCGTTCGCCGGGAAGTCTACGGAAATGGAAGGATTTTTGACATTACTCACAGAATAACCTCTGATATGCCGTCGTACGGCTCTGAAGAGGGGCTAGGACAGTTCTTGTGGCTACCCAATAGCATGAAGAATGGATCCCTAGCTAATAACTCTGTCATGAAATTACCCACCCACACAGGCACCCATTTTGATGCTCCTGACCATGTCTTTGATCATTACTATGATGCTGGGTTAGATGTTGATACCCTTGACCTAGAGGTTCTCAATGGTAACTATCAATTGTCTCTTAGTGCACTCATACACTTTTTATTCCCAATTTGATTTTCCGAGCCAAAATTTTCATTTTAATATACTGAGAAATAACACACAATGTCTACTTTATTTAAAGACGGGTATAGCTCCTCTTTGTCAGCGGCATTCTCCCTTTTTATCCATCAACCATTTCATTATGGAACTTTCTCCCAAGCTGCGGAACTAACAAGTCTATTTAAAAGTCGAATTAGACACTTTTACACAAATTTTCAAGTGGATGAAATCGGTCCAGTGGTCTCAGTTGGGGATGGGTGATCAAAACTCTTCCTTCTTTGCTTCACTGTCAATTGATTGGCACATGTAAATTTTCACCCAAGGGGGTTTGGATGAACCCTTAGGTCCTAGCTGGCTCCGCCCTTCCCCTAAGTTGAGGTCTGAAATGTTTGAAGTCTTATTACTCTGATTAAGTGTTAACCGCTTATTGTTTTCCTTAAGCTTTTTCATAGATTTGTTTGACTCAAGAGCAACTAATATGGAGTATTCTTATTCTGGTTAAGTACTTGACTACTTGTATGTTCTTTTTTTTGGAAATAAGTGTGAGTTTGATAACATTTTATCTGGCTTAAAAGTCAAAGTATGCTGGGATTATTTAGGGGGATTGATGATCTATGCTTAATAATGAGGAGATTATTGTTCATGAATGACTTACTTTAAAATGCATTTTTGTCTTTAAATATGGTACTCCCTGCAATATTAATACACATTCTTATTCCACATACATAGAATCCCACATAACTTAATATTGGCATTATTTAACGCTGCCGATCACATGCTGCATTAGTTATGGAACATGTAGTATTTAACACCCCCGATCACACGCTGCATTAGCCATGGAGCAAGTATTTTTTTACTTCAGCAGCTAACCAAATGCTGTATTATCTTTTGTGGGATTTTAGTGTTGAAATGAAATACGACCATGGTTTATAATCTAGTGATTTCAGTGGGAGTCTCTCACACAATAAGTATGAGTTCAATTCTTCATCTTCTCCTTCCACCTTCCCTTTCCCCTATGTAATAGAAGACTAAAAAGATAAAATCAAGGTCTTAATAGAGAGGAATGAGTACAAAGGATTCATATAGTTGATCCAAACTCGTTACCATTTTCAAAAAAAATAGTTGATCCAAACTAGTTTTGTGATTCGCCATTGTTGATTGATTTGTTGTATATAAATGCAAAGATCACCATCAGAATTTCGTATTTAGTATAACTTTTCAGAATCCCTTACCGTCCTGAATGAGTATTTAGTAAACATGTGGCAACTTCTGAAATTGTAATGATCGTCTTATTATTTGTTCCGAGAAGTATTTTTTTAAGAAAAAGATTTTCTTAAAGTTCTATATATTTTCTTCATTTTTGTAATAGTAAAAACTTACATCCTTTGAGGAATATCGAAATTTGTATTTGATATGAAAATATTTCTCTAGTGTTTGAATGTAAATTTGATTAATTATTTACAATTCTGAAATAAAAATGTCAACTTGATTTCGTTCAGAAGGTTTTTCTATTGCGGTAATGCCCCTCTGTTAGTGAACTAGTATTAGCGACCTCTTTAATTAGTTGGGAAGATAATCTCATTTCTTTCTTGGAACTAGTGTATGTTATATATTTTGATGTTTTTGGTTTGAGAATATATGTAATTGGTCTAGAACTCTTAAAACAGTTGTTAGAGTTATCCTTTTTAATTTTGACGGGATGGGGGATAAAGTGATGCTTGGGCACTTTTGTGAACCTCGGCTAATCCACTGGGTACCTATGGCAAGTTATTATCCTATAATGGATGTCATGATTTGTATTATCTTTTATATTTGATATGTGACAAAGCTATTCACTTTGTTGCTTCTTGTTTTTAGATACATATTACATTCAAGTTTTATGGGTTCTCTCTAGTAGTCTTGACATTGATATTTTTATACACTTTAGTATTATATAATTCTTGCACTGAAACTATACCCTTTTTTCCCTTTGGATAAAGCTGAAACTAGTCTCCTTTTCATGTAAGTTTTTCTAGAATGAAGAAGTGACCATTTTTTGTTTTTCTTCGTTGGGAGGATTCCTCCGAATTGGGTAGTCCTAGTTTGACTTGGTATGCATGATAAGAAATGTCAAAAACATTAATTGATTAGCAGCTGTTAAGGAATTGTCTCCTACATGTTGACTTATATAAATTTTAAACAAATTCTATATCAAAAAATAATTTTGAGCATCCTGTCAAAATGTCTGTTCTGCATTTTGATGTTTGGTTCTCATTTCTCCTCAGCATTTACACAACTTCCTATATATTGTGTTACGTATTCAATGTTTTTGCTCATCTTCCTTAATTTTCTTTTAGTAGGTATTTGTTACTATAGATATTGATTGGTAATAGGCACATTTTAACAGGTTAGTGATAATTTCTTTCACTTAATGACAGGTCCTGCATTGTTGGTCGATGTTCCAAGAGACAAGAACTTAACAGGTATACCTGCTCTGTCGTGCCCAATATATCTTTGGTGATCATATTTTTTGTGTTCTATGCTGAATTCCATACTCCTGAAACTGTGATTCAGTAATTCGCCACCATGTAGTTCTGGTACTTCTACCACATGTCTCGAAAAAGAGATGTACATCTTTATTGTTCGCAGATTTGGTGTTGAGATTATGCAATATCTTCATAACACGGGGGAACTATAATGGAATTTTTAGTGTGCAGAAATGAGATTATATTTTTAGCTAGATTCTCCTATGTTATGATGCAAGTCGTCTTGTAATTTAGATATCATGTATGATTTTTTGATATTATATGTAGGAATCTGACGTTCTCCTTTGGTTGACAAGAATTGTATTTTTTCCTGGGGATCAAGCAAAATCTTCAGGTTCTAAGATTAAAGTGAAGGGACAAAGAATGGAATTATTATTTAGAAGAGTGAGGATGAGAGTTGAGACCATACATGTGTAATCATGGGCAAAATGGAGTTAAATTATGATTAATATTCATGATCATTCTTGTGAAATAAAGTTCATTAGGGCTAGTCAAGATAACTGATGCCTACAATAATAGTCTAGCATTAAAGAGTAAACGAGTGAAGGATATTTTGTTCCCTGCCCAATTCTGTGACAAGAGATGATCAAGGGTTTGTTTTGGTGTAGAGATCTTTCATGAATGCTCTTGTATGGTGTTGATTTTGGGGGGGTGGGGGGGTGGGGGGTGGGGGGGTGGATTTTTCTGCTTTACTATCTTACTTTATTTGATTTTTGAATTTGTAACTGCGGTAGTGTATGAGTAGACTTGATCGAGTTGAGGTGTAAAATCTAATCTTCTCTTGCTTGCAAACATTTGTTTTGTGCCACTGCAATGAGAATACTCTCTTACCTATGTTATGTTGGCTAACTGTGATTATATACTGGTGTCTTTTATTTAGCGGAGGTTATGACATCCTTACATATTCCCAAGGGAGTGAAGCGAGTACTTTTCAGAACCCTAAATACCGACAGGTAATGGAAAATTGTCTTTAGACTGCTTAAGTATGGATATGATTGATCTGAGCTCTACTCATTGTTTTTACATCATAACTTGTTTTGCCATTGTTCATACTACGTGTTAAAGAAAATAACTGCTTCTTAAAAAGTTGTTGCTTGTACTAAAGTTATGGTTATTACTTTTCCTTTCTCTTCAATGCAATTTGATTATCTCCATAGATTTTACACATTTCTGCACATCCTCGAAGGATAAGTCCATGGTATAGTCTGCAGTCTCATTTTCTAGCATATATTTATATAGAACAAGCAGAAGCCAAGCACTTCTCAGGGTTTAGTCAACCAACAAAATTTCACTAGGGTCCTTGACTTTAATTAGGAAATCCCTCACTCAACCAATAAGCCGTACACTTAGCTGACCACTTTTTTTGATAAAACACGTAGCTAACCTCTTTTATGCATGATCCATCTGAATATACTTCTGAGGCCCATATTATCCTTAATCATGAAGTTAGAGACCCTCCAAGCTATGAGCATCCCTTTTTTATTGTTTAGCTGCCTATTTAAGGCAAGTAATGGCCACAAAATGCTCAAAGCAAAAGAGGCCGCCATCTACCACATTCAGTGGCAAAGAATGAGGTCTGCATTCAGAAGCCTAATATTCTTCATGAGAATTTTTTTCTCCCTTAAATGAAATGGCTAGGTACTGTCCCCCACCTCGCCAAACACGTGGTCGGAGCTCAGATTTGTGGTTGAGCATCTTTGCTTTGATCTTTTTTCTTGTGGACCACTGACATCCTATAGTTAGTTTTCATAGTTCAACCATTCAATAAATGCATCTCCATTCTCCACATACCAAACAAAGAAAAAGGTTGCAAGAAGTATGACGTGCTAGCTTTTCTTTAGCCAAGAGTGGATGTGGCTTTATTGATTTTACTTGGATATACTGTTATATTTGACACAGTTTCTTTTCCCTTGAACTTCCATTAGGCGTCTTATGTGGAAAAAGAAGTTAGACTCAAGCTTTGTGGGATTCATGAAGGATGGTGCACAGTGGCTGGTGGATAACACTGACATCAAACTTGTTGGTTAGACATGCAATACCACATTTTTTTGTCATAAGATGATATTTGAAGGAAAGAAATGATTGGCTTTGACCTGGTTATTTGTGAATGAAGTTGTGGATTACTGGTTACTCGAATGTTTGTGGAGCAGTGCTTTACCTTAGCTGGTTTAAATGAGTTCAAGACACCCACTTGGTTTTTCTTTTTCCTGTTGCACCTAACATTATTCACTACTATCTCAATCTACTACTTCTTTTGTGTAGTCCTGAGGGTTGTCCTCATTTTGGTGTCTGCATGTATTTCATGTACCTCAATAAGTATGACCTCTTCCTTTATGTTACCTAAAGTTATTGGTCAAAGTGTTTTCTCAGCTTGCTCTTTCCAGTGTGTCCTAATTATTGGTGTGAAAGTATCCTTATTGTATATATTTATTCTGAATTAGGTAATATTATTTTGCATAGATCTAATCAATAATTTATGCTTCAGATATCACTATATTGGAGAATGAGAAGGTTGAACAATGAAATCTAGTGGAATTAGACTCTTATTTCTCCTTCTTCAAATCCAGAATGACGTGTCAAGAAGGGACTCACCAAAGAAATGTTTAGAAAATGCTGTTTTGGCAAATTCAGTTATTCCATATAGATGACCTTCCCTTTGAGCAAGAAATCATATATTGAATAGAGGGGGTACTCCTTCTCTGTTGAGGATACAACAACAACAACAACAACAACAACAACAACAACAACATACCCAGTGAAATCCCACTAGGTGAAATAAAGGAATTGGTAGATCTCTCCCATCAGATAGATCAATGGCACGTGCATGAGATGCGCAAGCAGGGGAGCCAATTTGACCGCTCAGACCAAATCAACAAAATTTATTTAAAGCAAAAGGATGTTGTAGAGCACTTTTTTAAGTATATTTGTACACATGCATATAGTATAGGTGTCTACTATGTGCCATGCCACTCTTAGTAATGCCAAAACTAGGATTTGGTGGTCAAAAAATTCAAGGCAAATATCTACTCTGAAACATGACTCCATGTGTCTTGCTTTATCCTATATTGGATTCACATAGGTCATGGTTCGTGTATATTGTGTAGCCTCATCTTTTTGTTACTAGTGGTTCCATTCTTGCCTTCTGCCAACATGTTTGATTGGCCGTGGTTCTTGTAAAGTGCTCTGGTTTTATTCTTTCCTTTTCCCAACTTTGCCAGCGTTTCTGCAAATCTTTTAACTTTAAAGAGACTTCTGTATAGCAGCTGCATTTCCCATGTGATATCTTGATCTGAGTCTATTTAAGAAGAGGTCATAATATGCCATTTCCATTCACATCCACATACAGTTTAGTATGGTTCTCATTGTTGAGTCACTGTCTGCATCCTTTGCCTTTTGTTACATATCAGTTGGTCTTTTTTAGCTTGCCATCTGCAACCAAAGAGTGTGTTTGCATGTTCCTTTGTGCATTAATGTTAAACTTTTCTGTTTATAAAACTTTGTTGACACATGAAAACACTGATGATGAAGAAGACAGTCTGCTTACAATTCTCTGTGGAAAATTGTCCATTGTAATTTAAATCTTGCATATAACTTGGAGGTGGTAGCCCCCATGGTTTTGGTCTAGTGGTAAGTACGTAACTTGTGATGTGTGGGTTAGACGCACGTCATGAGGTCGAACCCTACAGAAGACAAGAGCCTAGTATTAAGTTGAGAATAGTAGAGGGCGGGCCCATTATTCCCCGAGTTTCAAACTGTATACACCTGTCCTCGGGGATTTCTTGGTTATCAACAACAAAATACCCAGTGAAATTCCACAAGTGGGGTCTAAAGAAGGTAGAGTGTGCGTAGACCTTACCCCTACCTTGTGGAGTTAGAGAGACTGTTTCGGTGTTATCTAAAGACCATCGGCTCAAATGAAGTAAATCAAAGTAGTAATTGAAAGGAGAAACGTCAGTGAAGAAAACTTGACAACTAATAGGAAAACAGTGAAGAGCATGTAGGCAAGGAACAGTAACATCAACAAAATAGTGTGATCACTTAAACATAATAAACAATTGACAATAACAGATAGCAATAGCAAGAAACTACATGAATAAGGCTAATAATACGACAACCACGGTGCTCTAGATTACCACCTAGCCTAATCCCATCGAAAAGAAAAACAACGCTCAATTACCTACTAACCTTCTACCCTAATCTGCACCTTCATTCCCTCCTATCTAAGGTCATGTTCTTGGTTATCAACAAAAAAAGGCAAAAAGAAAATGGAGGTGGCAACAAGTTTAAGATAGATCCATTGATTATTATGAATTAGGTCAGGTTCTCTACCTTATGTTCAGTGGAACATCACATGAGAAAATCTGCATTATTTTTCTGGGATGAGAAAGTTGTTGGACCTGCATGTGATTTAATAGCATTTCCTTGATGTCAAATTAAATGGTGCTATTTTACCACCTGATTTCTATTCAAGCATTTTTTCTCTTGTAAAGGAATGGTTAGCTAACATTCTCGTATATTTTCCAGGAATTGATTATTTGTCAATTGCTGCGTATGATGATTTGATTCCTGCTCATCTTGTTTTCCTCAAAAGCAGGGTAAGTGGTATTTGATAGGCTAATTTGAACTGTTTTCCCCTTTTCTTTAAGGGACCATAGAAAGAAAGAGGGTAGGAGGAGATGTGGTGTTATCTTAGTTGTTTAAATTTCTCTCTTTTAAATTCTTCTTCAAGGTGCAAAAAATTGAGATTCTAAGCAATGGTTAAACAAAAGAATATTTGATATTCTAAGTATTAGGAATTACCTATTTACTTTGTTGTCTGGAAAATGAAGATTCGCGATTTGCTGAAGAAAGGTGTTACAGTTAAGTGTCTATTAGCATGAAGAGAGAAGTAATGACCAATTGAAGAGGTTTTCCTTCATTGGTGAATTGATTCTGAAGTTCATATGTAAAACTTATTAATTACGAGGAAATTTGCTGGCCTTGTTTGATCCTTGATCGAACTGAAAAAAATTATCAGGCGAGGGCCTAAATAGCCTTTTGGGAGGCCATTGATTGCGGTTGGATTCTAGTTTGAGGCTTTGAGCAATTCTTGGAGGTCTCTGACATTTCTATACTGGATGAGTTCGAGTTAGGTGTTGTCTGTAATCATGTATGTTTGTCAGAGTTTCTTTTACCTGCAACGTTGAGTACTGAAGGCCTTTGGATGCAATACACAGAATAATTTCTCCCTCCTTGTCTGATTTCCTCCAATGAAGAAAAAAGACCAAGTATGGAACTTCACATTTTAGTTATCCAAAAAAGGACCATACATGGAATAGAATGAACTTTTAATATAGATTGTAACAATTATATATACTTCTTGGAAAATATGTTGTAAATGAATAATGACCCATGATGTGATTGTGATCTTTGTGTTTTACATGCCAATGCCTATTAGATTATTTTCGTTTCAATAGATGAGCAAATTGTAGTTGGCATTTCTACTGATCATTGTTTTCTAGAGTCTTATGACATTTATTGGTGATTCTGTTGAACATTTACTTGTTTTGATGCCTGTAGAACTCTTGTTCAAATCTTACCACGTTTGAAATGCTCTAGGAAATCATTGTCGTGGAAGCATTGAAGCTTGATGATATAAAACCTGGAATATACACTGTACACTGCCTGCCCTTAAGGATGCTTGGTGCCGAGGGATCACCTGTTAGGTGTATATTAATTAAGTGATGCTCTCCTTGTAAACTTTTCCAACCATAAGGTACATCTTTCAGTACTCTGCGCAGAGTGTGCTATTTAACTTCTTTTCTGTTTAGTTCAATGTGAAAAACATTCTCATTTATGCTAAAGTTGTGCGTGAGTCAGGTTCCTTTTTTGTGCTCGGTCGGTTGTGTTCTTGGATATATTTGATATAATAATGAGTGGGTTGCAACATTTGTAGCTACGAACTTGGAGTATTTGTGTGGGTCGCAAGTTCCGAAAGTGATATGCTGCCTTTTCATGTTTAATTTGCTTGATAATTTGTAGCAGGAAGCACCAGAGATATGTTGGAGTGGAGTAAAGCACCACACAAGGGACCAAATTACGAAAGGAATGCTGCTTATCACTTTGGCAAGCTTAGGCTGGGTAGCTGTAATGTACATAGTCTAAATTGTTGAAGTGAGCGTAAGCTCTCAGATTCTACCCGTCTATAAAAGAAATTTCAAAACAGACCTTGAAAGAAAATGTATGGAAATTTTCCGTATTTGTCATTGATTAATCACTGTACAAAGCTACTGTATTTCTGCAATCTTTTATGTCTAAATTCTATACAATTTTTTGCATTGCACTTGCACGTCATCATCATTCTTGATATTTGTGAGTGAGTTGTATGTTTGCATGGCTATTGAGCTTGAAGAGTTTTGATGATATTGTTGATACTCTGGTGTGTAAAATTCAATGATTTACCTGAAACACGTTGCTCTATTAATTGTGAAACTGTTAGGATGGGTTGTTTCTGATCTCTAATGCACGTTGTAGTATAAGGAGGTTCGGAAGGTGGGATAGGGTGCTTGTGGTTAATATTCAGAGGTTAGTTAGGGATGCTTGCTGAGTACCATTGTTGTTTGGTACCCACTCCCTTGCTTTGTACACTTGTGTAGGTTACGAGCTCGGATTGTCTTGATCTCTTTATCTCATCTTTGTCTGAGGCTTGCTTTTGGAGTTCGTCAGTTAGTTGCTTGTCGTTTTTGGCAGATGTCACTTGTTCTTTCTTTATGTCCTTGATCCATTCTAGATGTGAAGACATTCAGACTTGTATTTCTTTCGAATCTTGTACACGTCACTAGGTTTTGGGGATTGTTGAGTTATATTATGAGTTTCACTTGTATATGTTATGTTTAGTTCAAGTTTTGTCTTTATTTTTGTTTTTACTCTTGTCGAGGGTTGATTAGACTGACCTGTCTTGGTAGGATAAGACTGTCAGTTTTGCTGAATGAGTACTCTCAAGTGAGAGTTCTTCCATTAAATAGAAAGAATTCTGATTTACATGCCTAAAAATCTGCTATATATCCCTAAATTTATGTTATTCCTAATTGTAATATCTCTGAAAATATACTACATTAATCTATGCTATTTCCTATCATCATGACACAAATATTTAGAGTTATAATATAGATATGTCCAGATATTTAGAATCTGTCCAATCATGCTAATATCCCCCCTCAAATTGATGTCGGTGGATCAAAAAGCATCAATTTGCCTACCATAAACTGATGACGTTGTCATGCCATAGACTTTGTAAACACATCAGCTATTTGAAGATCACTGGATACATGTGGAAGAGTAATGACTCTCTTCTCTATAGGTTCTTTGATATAATGACAATCCACTTCAATGTGTTTGGTCCTTTCATGATAAACTGAATTAGTAGCAATTTGAATAGCACTTGTGTTGTCAGCATGGAGAGGAGTGGGATTAGATTGAGGAAATCCAATTTCTGCAAGTAACCACGAAGCTAAAAAATCTCAAAGCAAGCAGTAAACATTGCTCAATATTCAGATTCTGTGGAAGATTTAGATACACGGTCTTTCTTCTTGCTCTTCCAAGATATCAAGGAATCTCCAAGAAACATGCACCAACCCGTGATGGAGCGACGAGTATCAGGACATCCAACCCAATCAGAATCACTAAATGCATTAAGTTGAATCTCAGAACCACTAGGAAAGAATAATCCACGAGTAGATGTTCCCAAGAGATATCGAATGATGCGACGGACAACCACCAAATGTAGATGGCGTGGAGCTTGCATAAATTGACTCACTTGTTGAACTGCAAAAGAGATATCAGGTCGAGTAATAGTAAGATAATTTAGGCTCCCAACTAATTGCCGATACAAAGTTGAATCAGGAAGAAGATCTCCTTCCGCACGACAATACTTTACATTTAATTCCAATGGAGTATTTATAGAGAAAGATTCTTGAAGACCAGTCAAAGCAATCAAGTCCTGAGTATATTTGTGTTGGTTCAAGAACACACCTAAAGAATTATAATGAACTTCTAACCCCAAAAGTATGTAAGAGTACCAAGATTTTTCATATGAAAAGAATCCTTAAGTTGCTACTGGAGGCTAGTGATTAGTGAAGAATCAGTTCCTGTGATAATAATGTCATCTACATACACCAAAAGAAGAACACAACCTGTAGATGTTTTTCAAAGAAACAAAGACGAATCATATTTGCTATGCTCAAAAGAGAATTGAAGCAAAGTAGATTGAAACTTGTCAAAAGCTCTTGAAGCTTGTTTTAATCCATATAAAGACCGCTTCAACTTGCATACATCTGATGTAGGTGATGAGAACAAACCAGGTGGGGGTTTCATATAAATATCTTCTTTGAGATCACCATGAAGAAAAACATTCTCGACATCCATTTGATGAAGAGGTCAATTTTGTGATGCAGCAAGCAATAATAGTTCGCACCATAGTCATTTTTGCTACAAGTACAAAAGTCTTCTGATAGTCTACACCATACTCTTGTTTGTTGCCAAGGATCACCAATCGAGCTTTGTACCGATCAAGAGTTCCATCAGAATGAAGTTTAATTGAATAAACTCATTTACATCCAATTGGACGGACACTTGGAGGACAAGGAACAACGTCTTATGTGTTATTTTCATTAAGAGCCAAAAGTTCCTCCTCCATTGCTTTTTGCCAACATTCAAGCTTGGAGGCTTGTGAGTAACCTGTTGGAATAGAGATGGTGGATAAAGTAAAAGAAAAACCATACCGTTTAGGAGTTTGAGACACTCTAGTAGATCACCGAGGAGGCTCAAGAGGAGCAGACCTTGAAGAAATCTCAAATTCTGGTTGTGGAGCAGTCTCAGGTGGCAGATCTATTTCGAGATGGGGTAAAGTTGATCGACGTCGTTCATACACAAATCCTGGTTTGAACCGCTTAGAAGACAATGACAAATCCTCAAAAGTAGGAAGAAAAGGAGAAACAGAACTCAATATGAGTAGGAAAAATATAATAATTCTTCAAGAAAATAACATTTTTAGAAACACAAAATTTGTTAGAACTTGGATCATAGCAAATAAAACCTTTCTACGAAGTACTATAGCCCATAAAAGCACATTTAATAGACTGAACATAGAGTTTATTGCATTGAGAAGGAGGCAGGTGCACAAAACAAACACAACCAAACGTATGAAAACTATGATAGCTAGGATGCTTGTGAAAAAGACGATAATATGGACACTTTAGATGAAAGTCTATTAATCAATAGACAGCAGTAGACAAAGCTTCAACCCAACATTTAGATGGAACAGAGGACTCAATCAATAAAGTACGAGTGACAACTAAAAAATGATGATTTTTACGCTCAGCAACCCCATTTTGTTGTGGCGTTTATGGGCAAGAGCGTTGTGATACAATTCCTTTCTCAGGCAAGAAATTATTGAATTCATGAGACATATATTCTCCACCAGAATAAGATCATAATAGTTTGATGCATGTGGAAAATTGAGTCTCAACGTAAGCCAAAATTTCTTGAATATGGAAAACATTTCAGATTTAGATCGAAGAAAATACACCCATGTAAACCGACTATAGTCATCTATAAATGTCACAAAAATACTTGAAATGAACATGAGAAATAACTGGTGAAATGTCTCAAACATCACTATAATTGACATCAAAACACTTTGCAGCACGACTACCAAAATTAGAAAAAGGAAGAGTTTTAGTTTTGCCTAATTTACAAGTAGCACAATCAAAGAAGCAGCTGAAAATTGATTTTTATTTCCCAATAAATCAGAATTGGACAAATGAGACAACACAATAGAATTTGGATGTCCTAGACGTTTATGCCAAACCTCATTATTAGTAGTGGTAGAAGCAAAAGCTAGAACACGAGGAATAGAAAAGTGTATAGGAAACAATCTTCCAACGTTAGGGCCCTTCACGATTATCGTCCCCGACACCTGATCCTGCACAAGGCAACCATTACGACAAAAAATCACATCATAATTGTTATCTACCAATTGGCCAACTGAAATAAGACTAGTGGAGAGCTTTGGTGATACAATTACATTTTTGAAAGTTTCAATAATATCCCCAACCTTGGTAATGGGTAAATTACTACCATTGGCAACCTGAATTTGTATTGGACCATTATACTCATAGATGTTTTTGAGTATATTAGTTGAGTTGGTCATATGATTGGAAGCGCCAGAATCAACAAGCCAAAATTTATATATTACCTCATTACCTTGCAGCCCCAAAGCTGAAAATGCTGACAAGATCATTTGTTGTACCATTTCAGGAGTAAGAACTTGTCCTACCGAAGAAGAATTATCTATAGTGGAACCATTTATCCTAACTTGAAAAGCATTTGCCCTACGGTTTTGAGGACGTGTGGGACATTTTTTGATAATATGTCCTTGTTGTTTACAATAATTACAGAACTTCTTGCCACAATTGCTAGCAAATATGACCATATTTCTTGCAACTGTAGCATTGAGTTCTAGCCATATCCATGCCCTTTCCTTTCCCTTGAGCTGCAAATGCAACAGTGACAACATTTCCTTGATGAAAAGCATTTTGTGTGAAGAGACACTACTTTTCATGAAGTAATTCCCTAAAACAGACATCCAACGAGGGAGATGGATCACGGTTCATCAAGTTGGAGCGAACACTTCCAAAATCAGATCGTAATTTCATCAAAAAATGATCTAGCTTGCTTTGTTCATGAACTCCTTGAATGATGGAGAGAGATTCATAAGGTATTTTAGAATAAACGATGTCGGTAAATTCATCCCATAAGTTCTGAACTCCAAAGAAATAATCTTGAATAGAGAGACCTCCTTGAGAATACATAGCAATTTCATGCTCCAACTGAAAGCGCCTTGCGCTATGGACTTGGTTGTAAACCTTTTGTAACTAATCCCACATGGCCTTTGTTGTCTTGTATGGCCTAAGATTAAGAACAATAAGAGGGTCAATTGACCCTAAAATCCATGTCATCACCCGAGCATCTTTAACCTTCCATTGATCGAGCTTTGTAGGATCGCTTCCATCTATATGTCCCCATAATTCT